AGCCTTTTAAGTTCCCCAAAATGGGCTGTCACGGTATATTTTTCTTTTTTAGGCATAGCCAATACCTAGACCTCCCTGTTTTAACTGAGATATAATTCATGTACCATAAAATTCACCTTAAAAGTGTACAATTCAGTGGGTTTTAGTATAAGATTTTGATAGGGAAGGTGATGAAATATTATTTTCAGTTCATCTTAAAATGACTGAAAAGATCAACAATGTGACACTCAACTGCAAGGTGTGAAAGTTTAGGAAAGTAACAATTTAAAAATTGGCAAAAGGAGAATAATGTATAATTTTTATAAGGATGGTCTAGACATTTATTTTTACCCGATGAATTATTTGAAAAATTATGAACATACAACAGATATTTTCATTACTTAAATCAACCTAAGCTGCAAACAATCAGTTAAAGGGAAGTCTGTGATTACAAAATGCTTTTGGGGGAAGAAAATAATTTTTCATTATCAGAAAATGAATTCATTGTAATCTCGAGGTACATAACCATACATATGTTCCAAGAGACAGTCTATGTTCATTTCATTAGAGATATTATTTAACAAGCAGATTCTTGTGACACGTTTTTCTTTTCCAGGCCATGAATTCCTGATTACACGTTCCCAACAATTTGGAGCGCACACGGGTGCACCGGGTTTGAACAGGCACCGCAAAAACCAGAAACAACTAGCGTGGGCCCAAAGGCCACTCCAGACTAGACACCAAAATCCCGAGCTACTTAGCAGCTAACTGCACTACGATGGCGTCTACTCCTATTCAGTGGTTCTGATTCTCACTGGTCAGTGTATGCAGAAGTTTCTTTGATGTGACCGTTTACAAATTTCTAAAAACCTCCCTGTGGCCCCTGTTCATGATTGGTGGCCTTTTGGAGTCAACGTCAGCCAAGCTGAGCTACAGAAAAAGGCAGGCACCACTCAAGGCTTGTGTGGTGCTGACATCCCTTCGACTGAGTTAAAACTTCCTAAAACATCCTGGGGGAGGGGGAAGGCACATGAGGGACTAGGACGAGGATTAGAAGGGTGACCTAGACCGAAAGCCGGCCATGGCGGAGGATGAACGCACTGGCCTTAGCCCAGCCCAGAGGTGGCGACCAGACAGCAAAGAGCTGCACCAACATCCAGGAGCCACCTTCTAGTCAAGCCACCAAGTGAGGCAAAATCAAAGAAGGAAAGGAAAACAAAAGGCCTTAACAGTAAAGGCACAGAGGTAAAACAGAATGAAATAAAAAGTTACGAGCCAAGGGGTTGGGTTATCTTACCGTTCCTTAGCAATGAGGAGGACCAGGCCAGAGTGAATATTCTCTCTGCTGGTTCTTTCCAACAAGATGGGCTCTGCTTTATTTAGATCACCAAAAATAACGTTTTACAGAATGGGAACCATGACATTACACAACAAAGTATAGCAGTAAAATCTCAAACAAGTCAGGCAATGTTTTTTTTTAGAGCACCAAAAATAAGATTTTACAGAAAAACAACTGTAACGAGCAAATGTATAGCTGCAAATTTTCTTTTGCCGTCAATATCAATTCCCTCTAAAATATTTTGGGGCTACTTTGCAGTTTCCAAACAAAACTAAAATTTGTTAGACAGAGTTGCTCAGTCTCATCGTAAGAATGAAAACAGTTTGCAAAACAATTTGCTTAGTGCTAACAAATAACTAAAAAACCACGGTTATTGGTAACGACTCCAACGTCTACAGAAACAGCCTAAACAGCGATGGCGTCCATGCTCACTGGCAAGGCTCAGATGCTGGAGGCCATTCGGGCACCAAGGACGTACTCTTGAACAGAAATAACTACAGTATGTAAGTAAAGTAACTCAAATAAATGGGCCCACCTCTGCCAGAGGCCCCTGGGGTGGGCACCCCACCGGCTCTGTCAGGAAAGGAGGCCCACCGTCTCCCCAGTTCTCCACTGGGGACCCAGAGCGCGAAGCTAGACAGAAAAGCTGTTCTTCCAGAGCCATCAAAACTTTAATAAATCGCCCTGGGGTTCTTAGTGCTGTAGTGCGCCTCACAGGCGGCGACGTAGGCGGACTCCGGGAAGAAGTCGTCATGGTATTCTGCTAAAAACCTGGAGAGAAAACAACAGTCTCGATGAGCACCACGTAAGGGCTAAACCCCAGCAAGCGGCGCCCTAAGTCCCAGCCGCTGCAACACTTCTCCCCTGATTGGCACCAGGGAGAAAAGTGAATATAATCTTCACTTCTGTATACTGATCGCTTTCATTGCACGTGTCCAGCTTCTACGGTAATCACTGTCTCATCAGAATCCTTTCACTATGAAGTGTACAAACAGACACAGAAGCGAAACTCCACTAGGTGTCAGTCTTGATTATACAAACACTTCTGTGCAAAAGAGGCCCCAGTGACTATTTCTACATTTTCCTGTTTTAAAAACGAACTATAAAAAATGAATTATAAACTCAACGAATGTCACTTGAGAAATTCATAATGCTCATAGGGGCTAAGTTACACCAAAATGGAATGGTGTAACTAGTAAAGGGCATTTTGTGTTCTCGTTTGCCACACCAAAAGGTATTACAGTTGCAGCCTACAGTATCAAAACACATCAACAAGACTGACGTGTCTGACAACGAACGTTACAATGTGGGCATTCAAGAGTCTACAACACACGTGCTACCTTGACTCTGAAGGGTCAGAGAATTCACCATGGAGAGCTAAAACATTCTCACATGGGTCATGTTAATTAGTAAGCTAATTAGCTTCATATCTGTTTCTCCAGCCTCCTCCCATCTGTCCAAGTTTCTAAAACTTTAAGGATAAACCTCTGCAGTACCTTCTTTAGAAAAACTGACTCAAAATGCATTTAAGAGCGAACGTTTTCTTCTTTGACTGCACCCTTGTTAGTGGCTGAGTCCACTGATTCTCTGGTTGACATCTTTGGATACATTTTCCAAGCCAATTACTTTATTTATTTGTAAATCTTTCTAAGTGACTTCGTAAAACCCTAATTTCTCTTTGGTATTGGAAAGACTTCAAAATTAGCAGGCTTTCCTATGCTGACCTGCAGCTACAGCTACCTCTTCACGTTTTATTGGCATTATCTGATTTCGGCTCACACAATTTTTATGCCAAATAGAGTTGTGGGTTTGTTTGAGGGGAGGCTGGAAGGGAAGAGGGTATTTTTATTGTTTCTAATAAAATGTTATAAAGTCTAATTCCACTCACGGACACTGTTTCCAAAATGCCTACACGAAAGTATCTGTTAAAAACTCCAAGCCTGATTTCTCTGCTGGAGCACTCCCCACCCTGTGGCAGAGCCGACCTGATTAGCTCTTGGAGGCTGGGGCCGGACCATAAGGAACCGGCACCCCCTTAACGAGAAGGAAGAACCAAAGCCAGGTCGCTAGGACAAGCTGGGTGAGCCAGGGTGACGACCAGCCTTGAATACCAAGGAGAGAAACTGGTCAACAGACATCTGGGTGAGACAGAGCTGGGCCACAGGCATAAAGGAGGTCAGGCCCACAGCGTGGTTGGTGGGGGAGGGAGGGCAAGGCTTGGGGCAAATGATCCTAAGACATAATAAAATTTTTATGAAATTTGAGATTCTTTATTTTTTTGGAAGGCAGCTATGTCAGGTAAAGAAAATAATACCTTTCTCTGAATTCGCAAACTGTCAGCACAGACTACTGGTAATTTATCCTATTAACTCTAAAGTAAACACCCAAATCCAAACTGTAAATGTGAGTATTTTATGTACCTGCAACAAAGACAAATCTAATACTTAAGGTTAGTCTTGAATAAAAAATATAAAATTAAATCATCGATCTCAATCACTTCTGCTGTAAAATTGTCTTTTCACAAGGTTATCTGACTGGATTCTTCTAGTGACACAGAAAATTTTACCCCCATCAAATGAATACCCTTGACTCAGAAACCAGATAAATTATGGAAAAAAGAAATAACCCCAATCCCTTTATGTTACAATTACAGTTAGAATCAACCATGCTGAGGCAATTATTGCTACTATGTAAAATATCAGAGCTAGCTTCTACAGCCCTTAAAGACAAATTCAGAAAAGTCACAGACAAGGCAGTAGAGGTAAGTTTTGACAAAGTAACAAAAATACCTCAGAAAGAGATCAAAGTGCTTCAGTAAAGCCTTCAGATTCTTCTCAGAAAAGGACATCTTTCCAAGGATTTCTGGAAGTTTCACTGCATTAAAAAGAAAAGCAAAACCATTTACAATCGGCAGAATCTGGTGATGAGTAAAACACACTCGAGGATCGTCTGGGACTCTGTGTAGCCTTACTTGAACTGAAATTACACCCTACGTCATCAAACGAAAAGAAAAGCTCTTACTGAACACAGAGACAGAGAAGGGATACAAATATTACGGACACAATTTTTATGAAATTTGAGATTCTTTTTTTTTTTTTGGAAGGCAGCTATGTCTTTTTTTTTTAACAGGTCACCTTTCAATGATTTTTTCTTAGACCCCAAAATTACAAGATGTACATAAGTTAACAACTGTTAAAACCAAACCGCTCCCCCCGCCTAAAAAAAAAGAGGAACGAAGAAAGCGAGGCGCAGGGCTTCTTACCGAACAGCCGCAGCAAGTGCTGCGCGCCGTAAATGTAGGAGGGTGGAGGTGGCTGGTCGCCGGGAGGGTAGCTGTCAGGTACGAGTTTCCAGGAGAGGACCTGGGAAAAGCACGAACCAACGCTTTGTTATTATGCCTTAACCCTCCGTCACCCACAGATGTCAACATCTGGAACCTCGGAAGAAGTACACGTTCTGACATTCTCAGGCCAGCGGGCAGATGCGCCACTAATCAAGTGTCACGTTCCTATCCCCAAGCTTCCCATCCCTCTGGCACCTCAAGAGTTGATCCACAGAAAATGGGAGAAAACGGTGACAACGGACCAACATGGAGGTTCTAAAGCCACCCGGTCTCTGACTTTCCCATGAAGCTTTTTGTGGGCGTGATCCCAGGATTTAGGAGAATAAAATATCATGTTGAAGAGGATCAAGCCATAATACGAGTCCAATGAAACACTTGGAAAAAAGTAAATACACGATATAAATATGTATCATTATGTAAATACATAGAAAAAAATAGCAAGAAGTGTATACCAAAACGTTAATGTTCATTTCTTAGTAGTGGAATTATGATTTTAGGGGGCATGGGAAGATATAGATATGTTTTCCATATAGATTATACATTAGTATGTATAGTAGTTTTCTACCATAATTTTCCTAAACATTTTTTCCTTTTAAATCAATCGGTAGGATCCACCTTCCTCAGCAACATGAAGACACCTCTAATCACCTGAACATTATGACGATAAGTTGTACGTAGAGGGAAAAATGCCACTATATCAAAATCAACACAAACCTATAAAAATAAGTAAAAGTTGGGGGGAAGACTTAAAATTAGATTAAGGAAGTTTTTGATTTCCTCATTTTCAACGACTACTATCTGTAAATTAGCTGTAACCGTTTTAGTCATTTTGTCACTTTTCTATTATTAGAAATCGCACTGTATTAAACAATGAAGCAGGAAAAGGCAACCCAAGATGTTTTGAGTACCATTTCCATTGATCAGAGATTCTCTAACTCCTGTTATGTTATATTCACTTTGGAAACTAATTTGACTCACTGAATAAAGTGAAAACAGACTTCAACCCTGGTAACTGATTTTCCTTCACTTTGAATGTCAGGATTGCAGGTGGATTTGGGGCTTTTGTTAAAGAGATGAATTTCAAAACTCTCTGATAAGCTCCCGTAGAAACACTTCAGTAAACTACAGAACTATTCTATCGAGTTGCTGCTCTGCCTTTTAGGGTCGGTCGAACCTAATCTGGAAATAGTAGGGCCAAAGGAAACCCTGCAGAAGACAAAACGGGGGATGCCGAGACAACCCCAGAAACAAAATGCAAGAGCAGAAGCTGACAAGCATCCCCGTGGTTTCGTGTGACCCCATGCTGAAGGTCCTGGCTTCGGCCCTTGCCTCACAGACCACACTCCTGTGCCGCAGAATGCGGAGGCCAGGCGTGCCATTTTCAGCTTCTTTATACACCCCTGGCACCTGACCCCTTGGTAAACATACAGAAACTTGCGATTACTGGAGGCATGAAGCGCACACGTGTGTACAGAAGCTGGTCATTTAGCTAGTTAGCAAGCCAGCCTACCTCGCTCACTCAATTCTGCATCTCGGTGAAGTCTATCATCTCCTACTTATCAAAGATACATTATGGGGAAACAACAGTTTCTAGTGGAGGGATTCTCAGCCAGGGTGTGCAACAGGACCGCCGTGATCTTAACAAGTACTGTGCGCATTGGACCCTCCCCTGATGCAGTGGGGCGACACACAGAGAGCAGAGTCTCCAATGATCTGGATGCAGGGCCCTGGTCAAAACGCACTCACAAAGGTGGAAATACACTAAGGCCTCTGAGTCACTGAGAACAGGAGGCCGCAGTCCAAGCCACTCACTAGAAAGCCTACTTTTCACCAGAGCCCGCAGCTGTCTGCATAACCACTAGATGGCGAGCTCGGCCACTGACCAGGGTGGGAATGGCCCTGCCTGAATAATCAATCAGCAGCCCTCTAAAAGAAACATGATTCCCCTGAAATAATAACCCCTGCGGGGCCGTCTTGTCTGGAAACCCAGGCATCAGGGCACCAGAAAAGTCCTAACCTTGCATCGACATCATTGAAAAAGAGATTGGATTGTCTAGCTTCTCTATCAGGGGTCAGCCAACTATGGCCCTGGGGACAAATCCAGTCAGACCCTCTTGTGCTAAAAATGGTTGTTATGTAACGAATAATATTCCACGGCACGTGAAAACCATATTAAAGTACCAGTGTGCATGACTAACTTTTGGGGGCACGAAGCATGCTGTCCACACCGATTTCATGCTGTAACAGCAGAGTTGGGTAGTCTGGTACGAGAGCACGTGGTGCGTGACCCTGAAAATATTTACAACCTGACCCTTCAGAGAAGAAGTCTGCTGACATCCCCCTCGGTCATTGAATGTTCTCTGCCCTTGTACCCCAAAACAAGCGTCTGGCATAATGCTGAAATACAGCAGGCTCTCAAAGGGATGGCTGTTAATATTACTGTTAAGGATGGATTTCATATTTTTAAGTGGTTGGAAAAATAGCAAAAAAAAAATGTCTCACAATACATGAAAGTTATCTGCTATTCAAATTTGCATTCATAAACAGTTTTATTTCAACATAGCATGCTCATTCATTTACACAGTGTCTAAGGCTGCTTTTGGAGTTGGGTAGTCTTGACAGAGACTGTGTGGCCCACAAAGCCTAAAATATTTACTCTGTAGCCTTTTGCAGAGAAAGTGATCTGATGCCTATTCTGTAAAATGAAAATGTAGTAGGTCCTTGAATTATGTCACTTTGCTACAATGCTGATGAGTTGCTCTAGAAACTTCTCACTTGCTTACATCAATTAGCCTACGGTAAAACTGGTTTCTTTGTTTATCATTGTATTTCATTGTATGTTAGTTGAAGAACCTATCGATGATTTTAGTGAAGATTTACTGTACTCATATTTCAATACTTATTTTAAGATAAAGATGGATGTCAATGTAGGGCTGGAGTCCTCTAACAGTTTTATAATTTTAGAAACCAACGACACAATGGTACACATCACATAAACAATTCTGTGAACGTCCACAAGCAAGAGCAACATCATGTTAAGGAAACCCGGTTTCCTCCCATAAGACAGACTTAAGCTCCCACAAAACGGAGGACCCACTAGGGATGAACAGCGCACACGAACTCCTTACCTCATTGATTTCATTAGTTCTTCTGCCTTCGAAACTGGCAAACACCGTACTCCCTTCCTTGCTGGGGGTCAGAGGAACGGGCGAGGATGATCTGCTATGCACAGGCGTCTCTTCAAAACGAAAAGATGTTAATTATTCACTTGTAAGTCACCCAACTATGAATGAAAGGCAGCTGGAAGACTGTTACGAACAGCAGAGAAGTTATTAATCTCTAACAATAACTCTCCTATTGTAAGAACCTAGAATATTATTAGGCAAAAAAAAAAAAAAAAAGAATCAAGTACTGATAGAAGCTACAACATGAACCTGGAAAACATTATTCTAAGTGAAAGCCACAGACAAGGCCACATGTCTATCGCATGAGTCCACTGATATGAATAGCGAGTGACTAACGGACTTGTGAGACAGAGCTAAACCGGCGGGCGCCGAGCATCCAACTACAGAGCTGAAGGCCTGGTGGCCTTCTCCGGCAGCCAGCTGCTCGAAGGCTAGGGAAACGCCTCATGAGCCTCCATCAGGGCCAAAGTCCTGGGCTGAGTGCCCACAGGCGAGCGGGCAAATGCGGCTGTGCCCGCACCCTCATCCCGTTCTTCCCCCGGCCCCTCCTGCTGGCTGGAGCGCGGCGCCTGGTGCAGACCAAGCAAAGCAAACGGCCGGGCTGGGCCCAGGAATGGACCTACTCTTTTCCAGGTGCAGGAACAGCTTGGGCATGCTGGCCGACGTGTCCTGCTGCCGGCGCTTGGGCTGAGGCGAGGCGCTGCTCTCAGACAGCCTGTCGCAGTTGGCAGAGTGGCGCGTGGACCGCCTCAGAGACTGCAAGGCTTCGGGCTCAGCTTTGCGCCTTTTGGGGGTGGCCGGTTCACCTGTGGCCGGCTGGCTCTCCGTGGACTGCGGGGTGGATGGATTCAGCAAAGGCGGGCTTGGAGAGAGCTCCTCCTGGTTCCTACGGAAGACGAGCCCGCGTCAAGCACGCCCGGTCTGCAGAATCTCCGCAAAACCTGGGGGGCTCTGACACGGCCTCCTTCACACGGCACAGGAAACTCTCAAGTCCACTCCCCGAGAGTTAGAAACATTCCCTTCCAATGTGCCAAAACGAAAATTTTCTTTAAAGGTTAACTAAATATTTAAAATCCTTAACTCCCTCAGTCACGCTGAGGCATGCTGGCATTACAGACTGTGAGCTCCCTTTTATGTTCGTCTAAGAGAAGGTTCTCGACTGGGAGTGATTTTGTCCTGCCAGGGGGACACGGGCACTGTCTGGGGACAGTTTTGGTTGCCACGACTGGGAAAGTGCTATTGGCATCGAGTGACTGGACGCCAGGGATGGTACTAAACAGCTAACAGCGCCCAGGCCGGGCTCCCCGCAAAGAACGATGAGGTTCAAAACACCAACAGGGCAAAAGCTGAGCAACCCTGGTCGCAATAGCACGTTCTCTCGCCATAGTGTCGTTCCTGGCAGGACTAGAAAAGCCTTAATCATAAGGAAGCAGAGTTCACCCTGGACACTGAGAACCCGGAGGTTCGGAGTAGGGCACGGGGACATAGACGCAGGTCCCCAGTGAGTGGTACAGGCCTCTCACCCGGGGTGAAACCAACAGAAAAGGAGGCGACAGAGAACCAGGACACAGGAGCCATGAAGGAAGAGAAGGGGACGGAAGGGACAGGTGGCTCATGCGCAGCACAGAGGTAGAAGCAAAAGGCTTAGCAGGCAACCCCCCCAAGCCCCGCAGCCAGTGAGGGTGCTAACTCACACCCACATCTACCCTTCTCGGGCTGTGTACTCGTCACTCTACTGTCTCTGGAAAGACAGGGACGCTGCTCAAAACCCCACCAAGTTCTCTACGCCGGAATCTTCACTTGGTAAAATCTTTGCAAGCCATTTGCAAGTGAATGATGACTTAGCTTCCCCCAGGAAAGAGAAAACCACCAGTATGGGCACTTTTCCCATCTTCTCCCCCCTCCAAACATACTGGTTCATAGCATCAGACAGAAATCTTCAAAAACAGATTCGACTATTTGATTGCCAGTATCTGATGGCTGAACCACAGGCTAACTTACCTACTAGTGCTTGTGGCACTTTCCTTAATTGGAAGAAAAAATTTGGACGAAGTCACCTTTTTATACTGAACTTGTTCATATGGATAGAGCAAAACCAACGGGAGAGTGTAATCAAAAGTTATTCTTATTCCATCCACCATCTCCTTACAAAGGTCAACACTGGAAGGATTAAAAAAAAGATTAGAGACGCAATAAATAGAACTTCCCAAAACGTCATAAGGAGGTTGTACATTTTTAATAAGGCAAAGTCATAAATGACTATATATTAAACCTACGAATGTACAGAATGAAATGAATTTGTAGATGTCAACAGTGATTAAAAGGCAACACAGATCTACGTTATAAAGAGCAGCAAGTACAGCAGTAATTCTAACTGACTACAGAGAACACAAAAGAACATGTCCAGTTCCACACGAGGAGCCCAGGCAGCCTGTGCTGCAGGAGGTGGATATCCCCAAACCCTGGGGGCTGAAAGGGGCTGACTCGATGAACTCCTAACTCCTGTTTGGACTTGAACGATCTACTTGTCTGACTCGATTCCAGCTCGGTCACAAGCACCAAGGCAGGCTATGAGGACAATTACTCAGACTGGAATAACAATGTGTCTGTAAACAAGCTTTGATAAAATTCTCATTGCCCATTCTGGTGCTTCTCAAGGAAAAAAAAAGAATTATCTCTCTAAGTTATATCGCTGAGTAAATTGGTCTGGGGGTTGCATGCAGACCAGATACCTAAATAGTTACTGGACATTTCAGAAAAGGGATAATACTTCGATATTAAACTGCATATGAAGTGATGTATTAAATGAATTCATAGTAACTGAAATGGAAACAATATTACCTGTTCTAAAAGGAAATCACTTTTCTAATACACAAAGAGAGAACCACGAGGTGCCGATCCCCCTTCTCCCACTCACTTCTTTTCTGCTGGGATATAATGCACATTCATGCTGGCATGTGACATGGCATGATGATGACGAGGTCTCTCGTGGGCTGAAAAGGCTGCATTGATAGCAAAATGCTTCACGTAGGATTCCAAAATAGTTATGATGTTGGTCTGGCATGGAAGTTTCACTAACTGTTAACAAAAATATACACATCTGATGCATTCGCCCCACTGTGTAAAACCATAGATTGCAAGAAACAGTGGTTTTGACTATATCACTTTTTAAAGTCAAAAATAAAGCCAATTCTGTTCAAAGAGAATTTTTTAAATAAATATGCTCTGAAGCACTTCGATGTAGATTACAGTATTACTTTTGTATATGAACACAAGCACTGATTCTGATGTGAGCCATTAGAACCAGGTGGGGCGCCTCTGAGACTGTATCCACAGGGGGCCCCGTCTCAGATCAATTTCGTCTCACTCTCCAGGTTGAGCCCAGGCATCGGGACTTTGCAAAGCTCCCTAGAGGATTCTAACTGGTAGCCAGGGCTGGGAAAGACTGTGCACACTTGGATTTAACCCGCGGCAAAGTACTGTCAGAGAAGTTTAAAACGCGACTCAGTACCAAACTTAAAATATAAATTTCACTCTCCCAAGGTTTTCAATCGTTTGAGTCTGAGATTACAAAATATGGCCGCTCTATTACAAATCCAGGTTTTATGAGTTCTCCCTGTGTACCCGTTTCCTCCTGTTGATATAATAACAATCGTCCTCAAGCTTCTTCTTCAGAACTTCAGGGATTTCTATAGTTATTATTCTTTCTTCCATTTCCCTTTTTGTGTGCAGCTCCAGTTCTTCCTTCTGCAATATCACAATTCCGTACTTTTAAATGACTTATAATAGTAGGAGAGTCTACATCCAAAGGAAGAACACACGAGAGCCTACTACGATATGAACCCAGTTAATCCTCCACGTTTACGCCAGTAATTCTGCCCCATGTTCTAATGAAAAGCACTTTAAAGGCCAAACGGTAACTTGCTTTACGGCACTAACCACACTGCAAATGCTCATTTCGCTTCTTCCCCATTTAAGGTTACCAGTGGGATTTATGTTAGCTTTGAAGGCAGGCTGAAGATGCCAAACTCTGATACACATTTAAAAATGTCACCGTTATAAAAAAAAAAGTTCCCGATTTCATTGAAAAGAAAGAGGTAACTACGGAAATACTTTATGAGTATAAAGAGCCATCGACAGCTTCATACGTTGACTGTAAATAAGTGCTATTTTCCTTTAAATAGGAAATACGACTTTATAATCTTTGGTTTAAAAATGTATGTTTACAAAACGATTCACGACTCGAGAATTTTACCGCATAATTTTACCACGAAAATATACACCAAAGACGAGGAGCTTTTAGAATAAAAATTTTTTACCACTTCGGTCTTTTCTTCACTCTCACTTTCTTCACTTATTGCTTCATCCTTTTCTTCACTACTGTCATCAGAGGAAGTGCTTATTGCTAGGTAAAACAAGAACTATCAGACAAACCTGGGTTACATACGTCCCTAACCCTTACGGCTAACAATTCTTTAAGGTGGAGCGTGCGTCCTACTGCTGGTATTAATAAACTGCCGTCTTGCATACATTTTAAACGCCGAATACGAGATCTTTCGGAATAACAATTTATTTTGAGAATTATTACACAAATTTCAATAGATGCAAAAACCACAAATGGAAATGATCTGAAAGTGTTCAGTGACCTAGGGTCCTACGAGCCCCTGCTGCATTCATTAGTGAGGCCGAGGCCCACGAGGTACCAAGAAAACACCAAGAAAACGCCGGGGACTGGACCCCTGAGGGGTTATGATAAAGACCCTGGCTAAGAAGGCAGTGATCAAGAGCATGACTGAGGAGGACTAACTACAAACTCATTGACTGTTACTTTAATTGTCAAAAACAAAGGGGGCAAATGTTATACGTAAATGACCTTAAAATGTCTCCCTGTCTATAATTTCAACGAATCCTGCCCCTCGATCCTACAGCATAAAAGAACTAGGTACAAGTTCTTTTAACCGGAGAAAATAAGTCAAGCCACTCACAGTTCTCATCGTTTTCATCTTTTTCTTCAACTGGGAGGCTTTTTAAGACGGAGTCGACACCAGGCAACCTGCAGCGCTTCTTCTTTCTTCCTGTGCTTCTCCTGAAAAAACAAACACACATGACTGAAATAAATTCTGATGCTGACTGATATAGACCTTGAGGTAAAAACTAGATATAACAACAAAGATGCTGAAGTACCAGACAAATAATTAAACTTTAGAATATAAATGGTAATTTCCATTTCAGAAGATTATACAATAACCTCCGAAAACACAGCAGTTATTTAGAATACAAGAGAAACAGCCTTTACTAACACGCTTTCAATACGTAAAATTACTTAATAAACCATGTTGGTCATATTTTTAGTTTTATATCATAAAAATTCTAAATACTAGGAGAAAACGCATTGCATGACATTTTACGTCGTGATTTTTGGATTCTTACAGGCGAGCTACAGCTTTTCTTGCCAATTTACGCTGTAATCTCCGATTTTCATCCGTGTCATGGAGGACATGATCTTCAGCTGCCCATCTATCCCAGCTAATAAGCAAAAAAAGGATGTAAAATTCAGTATTTTAATTTCATTCCAAAGAAATTCTAATAGCACCTCACAGGAACATGCATCCCAGAATCTTTTACACTTTAGAAAAGTATTTAAATGTGTCCAAATCACACACACAAAAAGATACAAATAAACCAAAAAAGGAAATCATTTACACACAGAAGCGACTCGGGTTTCCAGAATTACCCATTGAGATCCCAAATGTAATCAACTTAAAAGTAATCATTCTTTTGAATAGGCAAGGTTTGCCGAAAAAAACAAAAACAGGAAATGAAGCTTTTCTACAAGTGTTTCTAAAACTTAACAGAGAAGTTTGCAATGTTCCTGGGCTGCAGAGATTATCAGTTTTCAGTCCGGTTTAACAAGTGCACTCACCTTCTGTTCCAACCATTAAAATGGATCAGATATTCTGGGATCTTTCTGCCTTTTTCGTCTTTCCCAACAATAACATCGACAATCTGAAACCAGGAAATATTGTCCAGAAATGAGATAACATACGGAATACTAGAAGCTAGAGCAGGGAAACTAGATCATAGACCTTTTTGAAAAGAAAAGCATTCGCTCCTTTTTTAGACTGGGAGCTGCGTTGAAACATTTTTCCTTTCAATTCCATTTTATTCCTGAGTGGATGCCTCAAACTAGGAAACATCCCTCCAATCTCCCCGTGATTGGTCTCTGAGTGTGAGAATGGATGCAGCTTCTGAAGCCATTGGCCTGCCAATTTGTCACTAAATGAGCGTCTAGGCCAGAGAGCTGCAGCCCTGAGACTTCTGGGAGCTGTAGTCTCCCCAGCGCCAGGGTCCAAGGCCAGGATGGCTGGCAGATTACGCCTTCAACCGGTGTCCCCAGAGGGAACATGTGAGACAAATGACAGGACATGCCACCTCTGGGGAGACTCAGGCGGAGAAGGAGGAAGAATAGAAAACAAAACAGAGAGAGAGAGGGGCTGCGGGGGCGGAGACCTAAAGTAAAACACGCAGAGCCCGGGGTCCTTGAAAAGTCCCCCAGTGGGCAGCGCTGCGCAGACGCACCTGGGGCGTTGGGCCAGGTCCACCCCAGACTGCGAGGCCCCCTCCCTCTCGCCATCCAGACCTGACGAGCTGCAGATGTGACTCAGTCCCTCGCGAGCCCCCAAGATTTAGGTAGACGGGTACGGGGCACGGTTCGGGGATTGAAAACATAAATGCTGCGAGGCTCTGAGAAGGGAAGAAGGCACGGGTTTAACCTCGCCCTCAGTGCCTACGGAAGGGGTCCGGCCCAAGCACGACTGGGGCCCCGGGGCAATGACGTAGCGAGTCGACGGTCGGCTCTCTGGCGCGACAGATTAGGACCTGGGTCTGTCGGCCAGGGAGTCACACGAAAGCCCACGCGGCGCTGGGCCGCGCAGGATGAGGAGCGATTTAACGCGAAGTCAATGGCCGTTTGTGAGCGGTCGCCTAGACGCACGTTCCTCACTGGCGTCGCGTGCGCAAAAGAACGCCGCGTGCGCAAGAGTGACGCCGCGGCCACAGCAACGCGACATCAGAGACACTAGGTTTCGGACGGCGCGTGCGCAGCCCCGCGCGCCGGGCGGAAACG